TCAAGAAATTTTTTCCAAATTACTGAGCAGATTTGAACGAAGTTTTGAAAATGTATTTCTAACTACTAAGAAGCAAAGTTGCGATTTTGTAATGCCCGCTATCAACGTTAATAATAATAAATCTCTTTGAATATCAATTAAAATGGCATCATAATTTTACTTTACCGAAGAATTTAGAATACAATTTAATCTATTTTGGCTGATTTATTTACAAGTTTTCGAAATGAATAAAAATCGCTGTTCACAAACACACCACTAAATAAAATTAATGAATGGCTACGAGTGCCCAACAGTTGGACAGGAAAGAATATAAATCTGGAGAACATAAATCACCCTGATAAAACTTAGCCTGTTCCATTATGGCACTTATTTACTGTGTAATTATCAGTCATTTGTCACGTGAAAAGTCATTTGCGTGCCGACATGAGCAAACGTGTACTTGATAAATGGATCACACTTGTATACGACCATACACCTGCACAAATCTATTATTCATTCACCTTTCATTCAGCAGTTGTAGTGAAAAATATGACGTACTGTAGCAGGTTAGCGCGGCGTTTCCCAGGCTTCATAATTCCTACTATTTGAAACCCTATTATTCCCGTAACCCCTTTTATTGGTATTTGCAATAAATCTTATGTATTATAATTTAGTAGAAGCCCCTTCAAACCCATATTTTACATAGAAGATAGGACCTCCATTTCACTCTCGCTCAAAATGAGGAAAAACTTTGCCTATTTTGAATTTATGTTTTATTTACCAATTGTAAGTACATATTTAAATTTTTCATCCTAGCTTATCTTTCACTCCTCCGCTATTCTATCTCTGTGTAATTTTACTTCCAGGCAATACCCAGACACCATAAGTATCCTGGATACGCCCCTCCCAAACAACCCATATCACGTTAAGTGCGGGACGACCCACGGGTGGGTGGCAGGGTCTTTTTACCGGATAAATTCCGCGATTTAGTTTTTTTTTTTAATTGCGTTTGTCGACAAAAATTTATGATGGCAGTACTGCCACATTAAAATATAAACTGTACGAAAAAGGAAAATTTAATTTTTGCACCTGAACCCAAAAATTTACCAGTATATTTTGAATTATAGGCCTTTTTAACAGCGGACTTGGCCGTTTTTAGGCCAGCTAACAGCGCTGTGGGTCGTTGCCGCACTTAACGTGATATATAGATGTGGTGTCAGGCTGTTAACACACAAAATCACACTCACGCAAACTTTGACTAATCTATATCTGATTTGACAACAATATTCTTGCCCGACGGTTTATAAGCGGTATTTTTTTATCCTACGGCCTTCTTTTTAGCGCGTTTTCTCATTTATGGAAAAAATTGCATTATTGTGCTCGTTATGTCCGTCTGTCTGTCTGTCCGTCAGTGACTATCACGTTTTCGTCCACGAGAAAATGCGCTCTCTAGCTGTCACTCAGTGCAGTGAGTACTGAGTTATATTTGTTTTAAACTGTCAAACCCAAATGAACAAACTTTACTAATCTATATCCAATTAACTAATCTATATCCAATTAACTAATCTATATCTATATAATTTTACTTCTGGTAAAATCCCGACACGAAAAGAATCCAGGATACGGCCTTCCCAAGCAACGCACGTATACGTACTTGTGTCAGGTTGTAAGCACAGAAAACCACACTCACACACACTTTGACTAATCTATAACCATTTGAGAACATTATGGTAGCGCAGCCGTGCACCACCAATTTTGTAATCTACCGTGAACCACTCGGCTTTGTCCTCCTCCGGCTTTGCATAGAACCTACCGTGAACCACCAGGCCGCGGATCGAATATAACTTCCGGGAATCATTAAATTACGTAATTTTTACGTTCACCGCATCTGAGGTTAGGTTTCAGATAGCATAGTTCAGTTACAAAATTTATCGTCCTTCGACGAGTGGCCGTTGGACCGAGGGCTGGTTCGACGCACGGCCTAGACATGATTGTCCAGAAGTGTTGAAGGCTACGTTCCGGAAGGCAGGAATAATGATGATCCATTACATCCAGGGCAGGGGTGGTCTTCGGCAGGCGACCCAACATTTTACTGCACCGACAGGTTTTTTTTAACGGCATTTTTTGTCCTGCGGCCTCATCTTTTGAAGTACTGTCGCCATGTAGTTTTGTTCTGAGGCTTTCCTGTGCCAGCGGCTACTCGTTGTCTCCAAAGCCTAAGTTTGGTTACACTCAGTTGAATAATACTCAATATTTAATTCTAATTTCCTAACCCATAAGATGTGTCATTTATTCAGTACATTCTCCAGGAGATGAAGATAAATTGAATTTAGTGACGAAAACAAAATAATTTAAAAAATAATTTCTTTCAAAATAAGTACCGCAGTAAAAATGTTTTTTTTTCGTGAAAACGAGATTTGAATTTTATTTTTTATTTTCTCCGCGTTTCAAGTTATTCCAAAAGCTCCGAAACCTGGTTTTTGCTTTGTTTATTTGCACTACTTGTATCATGTGTTTATTTTTCATTTGTTTAAAGTGTCACAAGTGTCACACATCGGTAAAAATTTGAGTTAATGTTGTTTCATTTGGCCTGAATAAACATTATGAGCTTTGTGAAACTCATGAACAGTGTTATATTTGACAAATATTGTTTTCATCAAAATCTAAATTTCTCTCTCGGCTGCTTCGAAACGACTGTCTGCGGTAAATTATAAATTAGAGCAATTTCCTACATGTTTATTCGACCGCTTTAGCTGTGAATGTTCTGCCCTGTTGAGAATCGGTGACAGACCTACCGCCCAATGAAAGCTGAAACCGTTATTATTAATTAAATTTCGGAGGGCTACATAATATGACTATTTCGACTCTCGCTAAAAGGCTGCTGTCTTTGACTCTAAAAGTAGGATGGCTGTCGATCCTTCTTACTTGAAATCTTTAATACAACGAAACGTCTTGCTCGCTATTTCTATAAAAGATAAACATTGTATAGCGGTCAACTGCTAACAAAATTCATGAAGGCCTCAGGAGAAGAAACGGTCGGTACAAGGCTTGTTAGCTCTCGTTCAAAGCAGCGCGATCAGGGAGGCCCACTGACTCCGCGCCCACATCTGCTCTGATTACAATTAATGGATGAACTTGTTTGACCATCCGGAATGGATGAACTTGCTTGACTATAGGACGTACCTACTGGTGACGCATCAATTCATTATCCCTAAGGCAATGAGAGTTACGTCTTCCAGAGACCCATAATGGAGGTAAAATTATGGCACACTGTGAATTGTAATTCTAATTAAATATAGGAGAAAACGTACAATGCATTCAATTCTAAACAGATAACTCTTGAAAGTCTGGGCTCTACGTTCCAACAGGGATTGCAAATGGATTAGGTGTTCTTTGTACTCTCAGGTACGCATGTGCAAAAAAAATTATTTAGGCTAAAGCTTGAGCCTCTGAGAAAATGGAAAATGACTAATCCTTACGTACGACAAGAACTGAAACATATAATTTTCTAGCTCCGCCCGAGTTTGAATAGAAAGAGGACCAATATATTTTTATTCGAGCGGTACATCGGCCCCTCGTATTCCTATTTGGAGTATACATATTGACGTTCAAAGAAGAGTAACTGAGTAACTCTGTAAAACATGATGAACGGATAGATGCACATGCGTTCTATTAATAGATAAATCAATTTCAGTTGGTCAAATTTAAACAATAATTGCATTGCATTCTTAAAGAGTTGCATCAGAGCATTCAGAACGATATGATATAAGCAGTGATGAAAAGAAGTAATGCTTTTTCTTTCAAATCGGCTGCGGTTTTCAATCAGATGGTGAAGTTTGCTGAGGACGTGCAAAAAATATAGCTCCTTCCAGCATACAAGTCTTTTAAGGAGGTTAATGATTAACAATTTTTCTCGCAACTTTGCGTAATCACACAATAGAACACCGATAAGAACGTAAATGAAGCCAGCTTATCATTAATATCACGGGTATACAAATAAATTGCTTTGTGTTTTCCACTAACTCAGAAGGTCCCATTTTCGTGTTCTGCAGAAATTTCGGGGAGCGGGGATTACAATTTCTTCCTTGGGGATCTCAATCCGAAGATGACGCGACTCTACTTGAATAAATGTACTAAAGTTATAATGACTGTGTTATTCAGTCAGCAGTGCGTGTATTCAACAGGAGACACGCAGAAAAAGCATAGCGGCGGTCCAAAGCGAAAGCTTTTTTTATAGATCCGCAGCTCATTACGCTATTCAAACTCCCATTTTGATATGCACGTAGTTTTGGCACTCATTAATCCCGCGCACCTCCGAGTTTTGTAAGATAGAATTTATATTGTAATGTGAAAAGGAATATGGAGACTAACGTAAAAAGAAATATGGGACTAGCATGTAACCCAGAACGTCGCGTGTTAGATGCACATTGTAATGCTGAATCTACTCATGGAGCAGCGCATGAATAATGAAGATCATGCTGACACATTTCACTGGTACATGTCGAGGTGCAAATTCAGCTGAACACACTCAGTTGTGATCATTTGCGATCTTAAGTCATCAATCGCATCATCAATCGTCTTAGCAAATAGGGAGCATCTGTTTAGGAGCTTCGCCACTTCACCTGAACTAACGCTGAGCACGGAGGATATGCTCTTCATAACAGACGAACATCTATGTGTGATGAAAAAAATTTTGTTAAAACACAAATTGAGACTTCTCGCACATAACTTTCCTTGTAAAAAATAGAAAATTTGAACATACTTCTATCATCTTCGGTTATAATTCCACTTTATTTTATATCTTTTTATTTTTTCAACCAGAAAGTTGAGATTTTCTTGATGAACAGTCAAATCTAAATGTCAACATTTGATTGTGAAGCGGATGGCATCTAGCGGAGCTAGATGCCATTGGCAGTGGAGACAAATGATCTCTGACAGACAGCTGTAGGCACGCGATCGACAAATAAAACCAACTGTTTCAATAATATCATGAAGCTATAAAGCCACATCATGTATCGTACCAAGTCACAGGTCTTCTAACAGCCTTTCGTTCACGACGCGTTTTGCCTTAGCCTCTGACCGTTCAAGCCTTTACGACTACCAACATGATGAAATCTGTCGGTCTTGTTCTTCTTCTCACAGCAACCTTTGCCTACTCCGGTGCTGAAGGGTAGGTGAACTCAGTAAATGCATTCGAACGCTGTGCTCTCCCCTCCTGTTCACCTTTATCCTAAATTATTAGATAATATTGCTATGTGCTCTAATTTTTTACAGCCACGACAAATAATTGCTAAAAACGTTTCATTTAGAGCTTTGAATATTTTTTATTTTATATTGACTAAAATGGGAAATATTTACTAAAATGGGAAAAGTTCATCATTTGATGTTACTCAGCTGGTGTACTTATTGCTATTCATTTCTCTACCACAGCACCAATGCGTGTGCAAATGCCCTCAACAATAATGTGATGAACGCAGACCTGAATTCTGCATTCAGCGCCTGCATGTCGGACCCGGCAGGACTTGCCGCCTTGACTGCCATCGGAGGTTAGATATTGCAAGATTTATTGCTGTACATTGGTTGATCTAAAATTTAATACCATTGCGCTGCTCTGTGGGTAATTCACCTAATAGATTTTTTGTAATTATGGATATATTTCACAAAATTGATTTTTTTTTGTTTCCGAAACTCAGTTCCAGGCTTTCCCTTTTAATTATCGGCGTTATCTGGCGACGCATCTTAAAATAGTGAGTGAACTATTATAAATTCATGAGATATCTAGAACAATAGGTATCAATAATTTACGTGTTCTGCAGGTAATTCTGGCTGCGGAGGCTACAACTTCGCTGTCGGCGCTCTCAAGTGCGAAGTCGGCGCAGCTCCCTTCTTGAAATGTATAGCGGGAAAACTTGGTTACGTAAGTCAGGAAATATCGCTAAGGTGCCTTTTCATCATGAGTCATGAACTTCACTTTGAATTTTAGCTGACATTATTTGTGGTGTTGAACGTGACAGCTCATAATGTGACCAACGCTATATTTGGTGCACCATCAAAGATATCTATTTCAAACAATTTCGTAAGTTATAAAATTATATTACTAAGTTACAATTCTCGTAAATGTGACTATAGCACCCATTCATTTCTAGCTGAACGCTGATGGCTCGATCAACAACACAAAGATCTTAGCCCAGTTCAAGACTTGGGCCACCAGCGACCCCAAGTGCAACGTTGCTCAGTACAACTTCGCTGTGAATAAATGTGGCACTACCATCAACAACTACGCGGTGAGTTTTTCTTGCCTTAGCCGCACACGCGCAAAGTTATTTCACATCATGACTATAAGTTGTGGTTATTTTTCACTGAATTCATATCATATGTTAACTTAGGAGACGAGTGATATTTTGATTCGCGAGTATGTGGAAACTTAGGACAATTATTTTTAGTTCCTGTGAAAATGCGTGTCGAAACTTCAAATTAGCCAGGAAGTTTCTGTGATCTGGTAATCCCCTTTTCTGATGCCAATGTGACATACGATTACTTATGAATCAATGTCGCATATCGGATGCTGCGTAAAGTTTTTCTGCAATTCTAAGCATTCATTCACTTCTATCTACTACAAATGATGCATCACTTGATGACATGAACGTTTTTAATTGATATATTGAACTACTGCAAACAGTTCCTGGCGAAGGCCGCTTGCATCGCCACGGCGACGGACCAGTACACTGGCTGACCTTCGCAATCTGGTCCTCATTCCTTCATATTATACGCGGCTTTGAAGTGTTCGCAACAGCTGTACAATAATAATACCATATACTATATATCATATATCACATACCATATACCATATATCATTCTTAGGGGACCTCTTTCTCCAGTCAATGCATCCACGTGCAGTAAAAATTGTCTAATCGGAAGTTAATTGGAACTAGGTGAAACAATAAATTCACTAAAATCCTAAATAAAATCATATTAACAATTATCATTATATTTAAAAGTGAAATTGAAACACTCTTGGAGAAATGAAACATTTCGCTTTGTACTAATATATTTTGTGTCAAGAAATTTCTATTTGATGCACTTGAAATTATTAGAATTCGAGAAGTTCAAAGTAATGTGGCTTGAATGTAAGTTCGAATAAATAAGCGTGTAACCAATCATTATAAACTTATATATAATCAGAAATAAGAATGTTTTAAGCGTTCCTTGCACTTCAAAATTAGTACTTGATGTTGTCCTTTAAACCTCTGCACTTGTTTTTTCTTCTCCCAACAGGTTGAAAAAGTTTCTTAACAGTTCAACAATGGAATTTTCAACACATTATGTGCATGAACGTTGTTTTAATTGGCCAATTTGTTGTGGATAAAATGTTGGGTTGTCTGTTGTCCAAATCTTTCCAAGTTGAACGCGCATTCAAATCAAGAGGTAATTAAAAAATTTATCAAACAAATTACACATAAGAAAAGTAAACACAAAAGACCAAAGAAACCAATAGCTAAATTTAAATGGCAGAGATACGATGCACTTAGTTTCGAGAGACACATCACTGTCTGTAACTTGAAGTAAGTTTCACGTACATGCATTTGGGGACAGAGAAACGTTAGAGAGACGTCGTAAGGGCCTAAAAAGAAGGAAATGATTACTGGAATGAAAAAGAGTGGTTGCACAGAAGCCATATATGCACGTCGAATCCCATTTGTTTCTACAATAAAACATGAAATACACAGCATTCATTGTCAATTAGAGCAATTTCTTGATCGATAAATGGAATAATTTTGATCAAGAGTGATCATTACTAGAAAGTACTCAAATGCTATTAACTTCAATGCGATCATCCTGAGCGAAAGACATGACTATTCTTGCGATTTGATAGAACTCGAGAGTCATCGTTTTGTTTCAGACGGAAAAAATATTTCCTAACATTCTTGAAAAGTTTACCAATATTTGTTACATTGCTTTGAATCAACCCGATTTATGTTCAAGGCGATCGACATCTCTATAGATCATTTATACCACACTTCTGGATAAGAATACGACTACGGCTTCGAAATACAAATAGCGTTATCAGACAGTATACGTTAATTTCGGAGGTTTTTAGCCTTTTCATGATTAGGTCTTGCTAAATATATAGATGATTTGTAGATTTAGTTTCATTTGTTATAACTTTACTACCGGTATTCATTGATCTGCAATTGCTTTAATTTAACCACGATGCGTCCGAATCGTCTCAGGCTTTACTAGGACTATTCTCGTATACAAGTTCTCGTATGAAATGGGGTACGAAAAAAAAGTACAGAGAGAGGGTTGTAATGAAACACTGGTACGTGGTACATTTGATGTTGAATTAGGGAATTTCAGTTCACATCTTACGCTAACAAAAATTTGTAGTACAAGAAAAAAATCGAACACAATCTCCTACTTTAACCAGAAACCTTGGCCCAGTGCAGTTCCGTTGAGTAGTGCGACCGTCGTAAACGACCGTACTTTTCGTACACGTTTGCGACCGTATTCCCAGCGGCCGTAGCGCAGCCGCAGCCGCGCATCCCCGTTGCCCGTGGTCGTTCTTCCTCCATAGCCGTCGTTTCTCACAGATATACGTAGTGTCTCGTACCGCGCTGATGACCGTACCGATGATATACTTCTTGCGCAGTGTTCGAAGGCAGGTCTAAACTCTACTGTGAATATCGTCGAGGGCCCTGTTGCACAACTGTTGCACAAATATCGTCGTAGGCCCACAACCGTAGCTATAAATATTGACCGTACAAATAAGCGAAGTACCGGCCGTTGTTCGTAGATTTCTGACGTTATCATATCGTATCGTAATGGTATGAACATCTCAAAGTTCCGCGCGGCCGTTTTTTCTGACCCCGCCGGCCAGGGCCGTCACCTACGTCTGCGGAGGTGGCTGCATACCGTACTGGCGTGACGGTCATCGCAGTACGTAGAACAACCTTTTGGCGCGAATTTTAGGGTCCTGACATAACATAACATAGTGATGTCGGCGCTGAAGTGTAGGCCTGATGTGGCCTACATCATTCTGCTTTGAATATTTTGAAATCTATACCCCCTAGACACGAGGGGGGACCCGCCAGACACAAAATCTCATTCCCTGGCCACCGCTCGAACTGGAACTTGCGCGCAACAGCCTTCGACCACCCGGCTATGTCCTCCTCCGGCCTTTGCATAAAAACTGCCGTACACCACCAGACCGCGGACCGAATATGACTTCCGGGCATCGTTTGCAGGGCTCCGGCGCGCTGCATCCGAGTGATGCTGAATTTTTTCGCGGTACGGGGGACGATGCTAGGCCATTCGATCGCCGGGTAATTCTCTTGACGGCTGATTGGTCTAATTCAATGGATTCGTTCTGTCTGGTGGCTTTCGGCTGCCTATATGATTGTCCAGAAGTGTTGAAGGCTACGTTCCTGAAGACAGGAATCATGATGGTTCATCACATCCCGGGCAGTGGTGGTCATCGGCAGGCGACCCACTGCAGACACTCACGTACAGTTCGAGGCTATGAGAATGTACTTCTTGACTACAAATTCGGGTACAAGTAAGGTTTCATCTTCATTATATTGACTAGTTGATTATTACATTTTCTACTAACGATTTATTTATATTACATATTACCTGAATGAAGTCTTGTTGCGTCAATGTTGCTAGGCCACATTAATCCTTGTGTATGAAATAACTCTTAATTCAATATTATTATTATTAAAAAAAATAGAAAATTAAACATTTCTATGCTGAAGCTACAAATGAAAAAACATTTCTAATTTTCGAATTTATTTTCCAAACCAAGATAATTTATTTCAATCAAGAAGGTGAGCAACACTTGGATGTGGTCTCCCATCGCGGTCGCGGTCATGGCCGAGACAACAAAGTAGACTGGGAATGAACGGACCCCAACGGCGTCTAATACAATCAGCAGTGCTCGCGGACGGCGAGCTATTTCTACTCCCTACTTGCAGACGCTGGATGCGAGTCGTTGTTTTCGTTTGTGTGTCAAGTTTAGCCGATCTGATACCTTTAAAAGATAAAAATAAACTAGCACAAAATGACTCCACCAATAAATCATAGATGTCTTAGTATCATTGATTGACACGTTTATCAGATTCTTCATGTTCAGGGGCCATACTTTCAAAATTAGCTAAGTGAACGTAAGTACTTAAGATCTATTTTCTTGTCTATGATTGGTGGATTTTGCTTTGAAGGCCGTCAATGATTGACGATCTCTTAACTTTTTTTGAAAGTATAGGCCCAGGTCTAGCCGGAATTACATGAATCTATTGCGGTGGTTGTAACTCTCTTATTATTCTATATAATTTGTGATGGATGAGTTGCGGCAAGGAAACGATATTCATTTAGTTATAACAATTTGTTCGCCGATGTTTCGCAACTTTGTTCAGATAATGCGTGTGTTATAACAAGAGACTTCGACTTTTAATGCTCTTTTTAAAACTCAATGAGCGCAATGGAAAAATATTAGCTTCCAGTAAGGGTAGAAATCTCACAGATTACTCAAAGATATATTATGTGGCATCATGTGCAAATTAGATGAGCATGAAAGCGTCATACTGAAAATTCGATAAGATTGAATCTAAAGCATCTAAATTTCAAAATCTATTGAGATGCACATGAGTCGTTTGCAAGCAATTTAGGTACCGATAAAATTCAAAGTATGGCCGATTGACGTTTTCACTGTAAAAAATTGCAAATTATGCGACAACTTTCTTCTTAGATTCCAGCTTTAAGTTTTCACAATCGAATTGGATCTTGATATAGTATCAAAAGAAGTAGGAACATTTTGAAATGAGCTAATATGCATATCAGTGTTAAGTCGAACGAAGGCAGGGCTGTCGCATAGCATTTGTTGCAATGAACGCATGATTTGAAGCACCAAACCATTATCATTACTTTTCATTCGTTAAGTGCAATTATAGATCATGTTCGATTAAATGACCGTTTGATTGCCGTGCTGTAGGCTCCGAGGTTGACCCAAAAAGATATGGCGCGCAATGCTGAGATTTACCAAAAGCACGTGAATTCGAACAACGCGATTTAAGCGAAGATTTTTTCAATAATCTTAGATCGTTACATATATTTAAAAGGCGAAATTACGCAGAGTTAGTTTAACTACGCAATAAGCGCAATTAAACATATTTGGCTTGATAAATGCAAAGGTTTCGATTGATTGAATATAAAAACTGCGTAGATTCTACAAGTTCAATGAGTTAAAGAAAAACAGCAGAAAAAGAGCCAAAAACGCTTGTCACTAACAATAATTTGAATTATAAAAAAAAATAAACACTCATATTTCATTTGATTCGCTCGATGAGGATAGTTTCACTATTTATGAGAAAATTACTATGTTAGAAAAAAATTAAATTTAAATTTAAAAACTCGGTTAAGTTAGGCTTATCAACATTACAAATGGGAACTCCTTTCGCACGTTGCTTACGGCACGACCCATCGGCGTATTGCAGGGGGTCTTCTTTCCCGGACTAATTCCGCTATTACTTTTTAGCGCATTTTCTCATTTATGGGAAAAATGCACTATTGTGCTCGCCATGTCCGTCTGTCCGTCCATCTGTCCGTCCGTCTATCCGTCCGTCTGTCCGTCAGTCTGTCCGTCAGTCTGTCCGTCCGTCTGTCCGTCCGTCTGTCCGTCCGTCTGTATGTCCGTCCGTGACTTCACGTTTTCGTCGACGAGAAAATGCGCTCTCTGTCACTCACTGCAGTTAGTACCGAGTTATATTTTTTCAATTACGTTGGCCAGCAGAAATTTATGATGGTGATACTTCCTTATTACATTTTAAACAGTACAAAATAGAAAAATCGAATTTTTACACCGTAACCTACAGAGTTACTAGTAAATATTGAATTATAGGTTTTTTCTTAGCCGCGAACTTGGCCATTTCTATGCCTTTTTGCAACCTGGTCGGTCGTACCGCACTCAACGTGTTAAATATCAAGTAAGTTTTTATCAATAAATTTTATTGTTAGCCTAACAAAAGTTCTAACAACTCATTACAAATTATTTTAAAAAATATCATAAATTTTACTACCAATTATTCGTGCTTATTCTTTTAACAATATTCATTTTCAATGATCTGGTGCAATTTGGAATCAGAATTTCTGAATTCACATTTATTTTGAGGAAATCTTCACGGAGCAAAATGCAGCTAAAATACTATAATTCTACTATTTTATTGTTAAAAGCTCCACAAGCAGTCGCAGTTAATAACAAAAATTAGCTAACAAATAACAGCAAACCTGGGAAATGAGAACGAAAAATAAAATCGAAAACATTTCCTTGTGTTTCTAGATTATGTTTTTCGCGTCGCCCAAAGCAGACAAAATTATTTCCATAGAATAATGCATATATCTTCCTATTTGAAATAATACAAACCTCATCAAAACCTCCTCATACAAACCTCATCATCGGAAAAATCTGGGATTATTTTGAAGTAAAATTCAATGCATAGCTAATGGTAACCGGAACGTCTGTATTGCTTGCTGATGAAAGGCATTCACTACACTTATCATACGGTAAAATAAGTAACCTGGTAAAATCTTTTACGTTCACTAAGTGCACTTTGAGTTCGGGTTGTTAAATGGCAGGTTTATTGCGCTCTGGAAAACCTTTAACTCGACACAAAACGACGTGCCTCTCACGGACGAGCTGTACCAAACACACGTGTGTTAAGGAACGCAGCTGATCAAGTAGCTATATTCGGTGTCGTTTCTCTGTTGTTCTTTCTTATTATAATATTGTTATCTGGTACATTGTCGTAGTAGTAGAACAATTTAATTTATATTTATAAATTCATGTCTACCTTCTTGCTCGAGCTTCAATTAATTGCATTTATTAATTAGTGAGTGTTGTTAAAAATACTACCTAATATTGAATATTATATTATATTATTATTATTCTACTTATATTAAAAATACTAAAAAATGCACTGTTGCATGTGCTCGCCATGTCCGTCTGTCTGTCTGTCTGTCCGTCTGTCCGTCCGTCCGTGACCTCAAGTTTTCGTCGACGAGAAAATGCGCTCTCTGTCACTCACTGCAGTGAGTACTGAGTTATATTTTTTTCTTATAATTCGATCGGCATTGACATCTGTCTGCTGTG